CTTTTGGGTTTTACCCGAAACTGGACCATATAACCCGGACTAGGATCGGACCCAGATAGCAAACAATCTAATCCTATTTTTGTACTTAGATTTGAAAAAAAAAAACTCGTTTGGGATCGGATTGAAAACCGGATAAGAGAGCCCAACACCCAAAACTTAACCAACAGAGGCCTTAGACCACTCAAATCTCCACAAGCTCAATCTAAAATCAAGACCGAATTGGAACCGGACCGGGTCAAAATCGGACCGGATCAATTCGAGCCAATTTAATCGACCTGGACCATATAACCACAAATAAAAAATTATATCAATATGAAATTGAGGAGCCAATTTAATCGGCCCGAACCATATAGCCACCCGTACTTTTAAGTAGCTAATATTTTCAAAAAAAATTATATCAATATGAAATTGAGTAATGTTTCCATATTGACCTTTTAAGTAGGGCTGGCTATTTGGTCTGAGCTTTTGGGTTTTACCCGAAACTGGACCATATAACCCGGACCAGGATCGGACCCAGATAGAAAACAATCTAATCCTATTTTTGGACTTAGATTTGGAAAAAAATAACCGTTTGGGATCGGTTTGAAAACCGGATAAGAGAGCCCAACACCCAAAACTTAACCAACAGAGGCCTTAGACCACTCAAATCTCCACAAGCTCAATCTAAAATCAAGACCGAATTGGAACCGGACCGGGTCAAAATCGGACCGGATCAATTCGAGCCAATTTAATCGACCCGAACTATATAACCACAAATAAAAAATTATATCAATATGAAATTGAGGAGCCAATTTAATCGGCCCGGACCATATAGCCATCCGTACTTTTAAGTAGCTAATATTTGCAAAAAAAAATTATATCAATATGAAATTGAGTAAAATATGCTTCAATTGGGAATTGAACCATGCCCAATTACCAATACTATTACAACTCATCCGCTAGTCTATATTAGTAGATTGATGCTAAACTGCACGCACTGTTTTATAGCTCTAGTTAATTTATAATAATTTCAGAAGCCTCAATAACGTAAAGCAATGCTAATATTCATTACGTAAAAGAAGTCTCAATTACGTAAGGATTCTGTAATGACATTTTAGAACTGTTACGTAAAATACACATCCATTACATAAGGCTTCCGTAATGACAGTTGTTTCTTACGTAACAGTTAAATCATAAGCGTTACGGAAGGCTTCCGTAATACCTTCACACTTTACGTAACGCAAGGTTCATATCCATTACGTAAAAGAAGCCCCAATTACGTAAGGCTTCCGTAATGACATTTTAGAACTGTTACGTAAAATACATATCCATTACGTAAGGCTTCCGTAATGACAGTTGTTTCTTACGTAACAGTTAAATCAGAAGCGTTACGGAAGACTTCCGTAATACCTTCACACTTTACGTAACGCAAGGTTAATATTCATTACGTAAAAGAAGCCCCAATTACATAAGGCTTCCGTAATGACATTTTAGAACTGTTACGTAAAATACATATACATTACGTAAGGCTTCCGTAATGACAGTTGTTTCTTACGTAACAGTTAAATCGGAAGCGTTACGTAAGGCTTCCGTAATACCTTCACACTTTACGTAACGCAAGGTTAATATTCATTACGTAAAAGAAGCCTCAATTACGTAAGGCTTCCGTAATGACAGTTGTTTCTTACGTAACAGTTAAATCAGAAGTGTTACGTAAGACTTCCGTAATACCTTCACACTTTGCGTAACGCAAGGTTAATATTCATTACGTAAAAGAAGCCTCCATTACGTAAGGCTTCCGTAATGAGATTTTACAACTGTTACGGAAGATGCACATACGTTACGTAATCATTACGTAACACATGTCGTGTTTTACGTAATGCAACCTGTGAAACCTGCTATAGCATGTAAAAAAATCAAGTTACCTTACTTTTCAAGGCATTGTAGGAATTCCCCATCTTCATAACAGAACCGTCTTTGGACGAATTTCAATCTTTATCACTCTTAGCATCTACATTTTTCTATCAGATACTCATTCAAAGACAAGTTGGCGCAAATTCAAAAGAGATCACAAAGCGGAATAAAGGCAGTTCGTGGTATCCTCTTTCTTTACCCCTTCGTCATTATCGTTTTCAGCTATGCGCTTCAATGAATTCCAACGTACCTCATACTCATATTTGCACATGAAAACCTCATCTCCTTCATTTTCTTTTGCCTACACTTTGGGAATCATGACCGAGCAATGCCTTATGACTGACTCCATCTGCAGCATTCAAAGATCAAACGAAGGAACAGGTTTTAGACTCCCCCTTTACATCTCACCAGCTAACTCTACTTCAAAACTTAACACCTCAGAGGAATTCATAGCTGAACATAAACTTCGGCCACTAAAAAAATTAAACTTCGCGTCAATACCAGAAAAATCATTTGTTCTATAAACTCAAAAACTTCCATGCACTGGAAAGAAGCTTCTCTCTCAAAGTTCTAGCTCGCTTCTCCCCAACAGGATGCCTATGCATCTCAATCACCTTCTCTGGTCGCTTCAAATCCAATCCCCATCAACAACACCTTTCAAAGGAGGCTTCAAGCAATCCAAATGAAACCGACCTAAGGAACAATCTAGTTATGCTCCTAACAGACCATTTTGTTAGGAGATACTGACAGGGCAGGATAGATGGTCACGTCACCGAGCCGGATCGGACGGTGGAGGAGGATTGGAACCGACTTGTGAGAGGAAGAGAGCCAAGTCCATCGGCTGTCCCAATTCCACTATCCAAAGGGGCCCACAAATTCAAAAAAATCAATGTCTTTTCTTAGTCTCCTTCTCTCTTCAAATTACTTCATTAGTTTCCTTTCTCTCTCCTCAAAATTTTTTGTTTCCTCCTCCCTTTTTCTCCCAATAATCACCAGAAACCCTCTCCAACTCTAACGAAGCAGGCGACGGCGACTGTGAGAACGACAGTGACGACGGTATCGCGACAAGGAAGAAGTTGTCGGCGACGGTAGTTGTGCTTGAAGGAAGAAGACGACGGTAACCGTGCTTTTTCCTCTCTCTCTCTTTTTCTCATATCTATTTCATTCTTCACCTTGCTTATTGTGATTCAATCGAGTTTTTGAAAGCGATTGTTCCATTTTCATTTAGGAGAAAAGGGAAGAAGCTTCGAAGGCGAGGGAGATATGACATATTTGCAAATCCACACCGTCCTCGTTGGAATATCACGAGGGGATTCGATTTTAAGGGTTCCATTTTTCTTTTGATTTTGTTTCTTGGATTCTGATTTTGTGTTTCAAAGAAATAAGTAGTGTTTGAAGTTAGGGTTTCATGGATTCGACTAGATCTGGGTTTTCCTTTTCCTACGTTTTTTTGTATGAGCTTGATGGATTTGTTTTCTGGTAACTTAGATTTGACTAGATCTGGGTTTCTTTCTTTTGTGGGTTATGTGGATAAGTTTTTTGGGTTTGTGGATGTGACTGGATCTGAGTCTGGGTTGATTTGTTTGTGGATTTTGCGGATTTGATTGGATTTGGGTTGCTTTGTCCGTTTGGAATTTGGTTTGTAACCTGTACTCTCCTCAAATTAGTGAAATTTCTCCCCTGCTCATGGATTAGCTAGCACACATTGTGTTAGTGAATCACGTTAAATTTGTGTTCGTTCGTGTTGGTTTGGATTAATGATTGCACGCTTCTGTTCTGACATGGTTAATAGCATTTTATGCCCCTCTACCGTTGCAAGTTAACAAATGTACCCCTCTACTATATTTTCGCACAAACATACCCTTCTATTATCGGAAGGTAAAAAATTTAACCTTCCGTTAATTTCTCCATCCACTGACCGTTAAAACGAACGGTAGTGACTAATTTGCCCCTCCAGCCCCAACCCTTGTTTCTTTCCCTTCAATCCCACTCTGCGACTTTCCTTTCCCTTCTCCAGCAGTCGACTTCCCGTTGTGCCTCTCGCCGTCGCAGCTGCCGATGTGGCTTTCTAAATCCACCGCCTCAATGAGCAGGGGCTACCGCCATACCAAAAGCCGCACGATCTCAAGAAGAGATCCAGCAACTGTAGCTAAAATGGAGCTTCTCGTAATTTTAGGAACTTACACAAAGCAGAAAGGCAGAAGCTTCCCCTTCCCCAATATAAAACGCTACAAAAATAAATATATTACACAGGTTTTCATTCTAAATTTAAAGCCAACAAAACATATACAGAGACGCTCAAATCTTCAATTGGAACCTCCTCGTTCAGCCGCGATTTGGGGAAAAATCGAGCTGCTCTGTTGCGAGCTCCAGGAGCTTCAATGTAACACACTACCCTATACGTTTTGCCTAATCATATTGTTTATACAATTGCAGCGGAATTAATCTCGGGCGTTACATTAATTATCAAAATTTACCTAAATAAAATTTCGACATGAATAACTCGCGTAATGGGCTAACAGTTCTTGCAACTTAACCTGCAAAATAATTCATCACAAACATATATACTCACAACCATATGCATTGGCTTTTCTTAGCCATAGTCACACTTTCATACTCCGCAACTGCATACCTTACTAATACATACCATAATCGTCACAACTTACACAGTTACACAACATATACACATATCATTAACTTTCCACACCTGTGGATATCTCACACTACATTCGAAGCTAGAATGCACATGAAAATGTTCTCAAAACATTTTTACAAAAAGGTGTGGATCACTGGCCAAAATCCCAAGTAGTAGTCCAAGCACAGAATAGTTGAAGACCATACCTCATCCTGGCTTCAACTCTAGCTCCTCTCCCACCTAACACTTATCTACTGCTGCTGCTGATGATCTGCTTACACATAGCATAAGCAGAGAAGAAGAATAAAAGAGGGTCAGCTCATAGCTGAGTGAGATAATCATAGCATCGTGAGTTCATAACAGAGCATACCCCTACCATACATCTAACAAACAAGCCAAAGCACTGGGATCAGATCTCAGCCCTCCAACATCCCAATAGGCAAAAGACTCAATCACCTTGACTTATGCATATGCATCTTATCATGTTTTAATCATAGGCGCCTGGCTACTCCCATGCTAATAACTCTCCCGGGAAACATACCCCACATCCCGTCGGATGTAGTCATACATACCCCAACATCCCGTCGGATGTGGTCATACATACCCCACACCACTATGGGTGTAGTCATACCCCAACACCGCTCTGGGTGTGGTCATATCTCGTAAGAATTCTTCAGTCACCACCACATGAGAGGTGTGACTATCATACATATCATAATAGAGTAATAGCATAGGGAGCCCTAATTACTATGTAGTTGACCGTGAGACCACAACACTCATATTTGGTATCCTTATACATGATTCATATATCATCTTGCTTAATCATAATTCGTTACTTGCACATGTACTTGACCTGCCCATAATTGGCTCAACATAGGTAAACCAGGAGTCGTATAATTGCACTTCCTCGGGATAAACCCTCGTGCAAGTCATCCTCCTTAAACATCATAATATCACCCTGGGAAGTTTATTCCCCCACTTATGGATCCAAATACAACCATAATATCACACCATGTCAAAACCCCTTATCGAACAACCATGAAGTCATATCAACAATTAAGCCACAAATGGCAACATGTATGCAATCATCAACATAAACAAGGTTCATATCGGCTAGGGCAAGTCAATAATATCATACAACAATCCATGGTTCATCATATAGCATAAAAGCTCATACACCCCTAATCATGTCATTCTAATTCACCTAGATCAATTCTAAGCATCAATATAATTATCGTGATACGACAAACCCGGTATGCCGTGCTAATCCCTCACCAGTTCTGGTCGTTCAAACACCGGTTCTAGCCTCCGGTACTAAAACATCAATTTCACGAACGAACCCCGAATTAAAATCCGAGACAGTCCTAATATCCCCTGCAGTATCCCCGTCAATATTAGTTCTGGGCTCCGGGTCAAATTCTCGATAAAAACACATCAAACCCTGGCCGGAGCTAAATTCAGCGGTTCCGGCTCCGACCTAAATAATAGCTAAAATTCAGGGATTAGAACTAGAGGATTGATTACCTCGCTGCAGGAAGCTCGTATATGAAATTTGGGCTCAATCCGGCTTCCGGATACTCCGAAACCCTAATTTGGCAGATCGGGAATTCAAGAAATTCCTGAACCAAAAACTCGTTTTAAAGCTCTAAATCGATAAAACACGATGAATAGATGAATTAGGCATTACTTACGGGATTTTTGGATCACTAGGGCTCAAGAATTTGAGCTTTGGAATTTTGGCCGAGCGCTCTGCGCGTGCTCTGCTCTCGGCTTTCTCTCCACCGAGATGAAAGAAGAAGAAGAAATGGCTCTGCTTCTATCGACCATTTACTAGTATATATATATATATATATATATATATATATATTATATAATTAATACGTATACTTATCCGATCGATCGATAATCCGATTTTCGCCGAAATACTGTTGAAATGCTCGATTTTAAATCGCGAACTTTCTAGCGATCGAAATATGAGTTTTGTCGGAACGAGATGTTACAATTCTCCCCTCCTTCAAAGATTTCGTCCCCGAAATCTAACCTTGAGTCGTACTCTAACTCCTCTTACTAACCCTTAACTTGGTCTATCACACATAAAGTCATTACCTAACTCTTAGGTCAGGCAATTCATAACATAGAAGGTAACACATAACACCTCAAGTTCCCATGTTTAGGTTTCAAAAACCTATACTGGGCTATCACAACAAAAACACGTCAGCAAGTTCAAAACATAACTTACTAAGCAAGATTGTTAACCTGCAAAGTAGGTTGCTACCAACTCAGGGTACTTCTCTCGCATACTTGCTTCAGTCTCCCAGGTAGCACTCTCACTATCTTGATTCCTCCACACAACCTTCAACATTGGAATTTCCTTTCTACGAAGAGTTTTAACCTGATGGTCAACAATCTGCACTGGGACTTCTTCAAATGTTAAATCTGTACCCAACTCGATCTCTTCTGGTTGTATGACATGGGAAGGATCCACTTTGTACCTCTTCAGCATACTAACATGAAATACATTGTGGATTTGGGATAACTCTGGAGGCAATGCTAGTTTATATGCCACGGGTCCAATCTTCTCTGTGATTTCATAGGGTCCAATATACCGAGGTGCAAGTTTCCCTTTCTTACCAAATCTCATCACCCCTTTCCATGGTGACACTTTGAGAAATACTTTCTCACCCACTTCGAAATTAACTTCACGCCTATTCGTGTCAACATAAACTTTCTGTCGATCTTGAGCCACCCTCAACCGCTCCCTGATTTCCTTGACCTTGTCAACGGTGATCTGAACTATCTCTGGCCCTGAGATTTGCCTTGCTCCTTCTACATCCCAACATAATGGTGTTCTACACTTCCTCCCATAAAGTGCTTCATATGGTGGGACACCCAAGCTACTATGGTACTGGTTGTTGTAAGCAAACTCAATTAAGGGCAAATGGTCAATCCATGATTCCTCCCATTGCATTACACATGATCGAAGTAATTCCTCCAAGGTTAGGATGGTTCGTTCACTCTGCCCATCTGTTTGAGGATGATAAGCTGAAGTAAAATTTCTGGGACATGTAATTTCTGGAAGAGGTGTCGAGGTGGATCCGAAAAAGGTGGAAGCAGTGGTGAGTTGGACTCCACCAAAAGATGTGTCGGAGTTGAGAAGTTTTCTTGGCATGGCTGGTTATTATCGGCGGTTTGTCGAAGGATTTTCTAAAATTGCTGCACCATTGACTAAACTGTTGAGGAAGAATACTAAGTATGTTTGGGATGAATCATGTCAAAAGAGTTTTGATGAACTGAAGAAGAGATTGACCACAGCACCAGTACTGGCTTTACCTTCAAACCATGGAGAGTTCGTGGTGTATAGTGATGCCTCGTATCAAGGATTGGGCTGTGTGTTAATGCAGGATGGAAGAGTTATCGCATATGCCTCTAGGCAATTGCGTCCTCATGAAGTAAATTATCCCACTCATGACTTAGAATTGGCAGCGGTGGTATTTGCTCTCAAGATTTGGCGACATTATTTGTATGGTGAGACTTTTAAAATTCTAACTGATCACAAAAGCTTGAAGTATATTATGGATCAGAAGGATTTAAATAGTCGCCAGAGGAGATGGATAGAGTTGTTGAAAGATTATGATTGTACCATTGATTACCATCCAGGTAAAGCTAATGTAGTTGCTGATGCTCTGAGCAGAAAGGGGAAGAAGAATATAAATGATCTGGTTGATTTGAGGGCAATGAATGTGGATTTGGAAGTGGATGGTGTAATAGGGTTACTAGCTCGGTTGAACATTCGACCTTTGTTGCATGACAAAATTCATGAGAAGCAGAAGGAGGACCCAGAGTTGGCAAAAATCATTCAAGACATTGAGGAAGGAAAAGAAAGCCCATTTGAAATGGTAGATGGCATGTTGAAGATTAATGGAAGAGCATGTGTTCCTAATGTTGATAACTTGAGGAAAGAGATCCTAGATGAAGCTCATTCTTCTGCTTATGCTATGCACCCAGGAGCAACTAAAATGTATCACACGATCAAACCATATTTTTGGTGGCGTGGGATGAAAAAGGAAGCGGCTGAACATGTTTTCACATGTCTAGTATGTCAGAAAGTTAAGGCAGAACATCAAGCTCCCGTAGGAAAACTGCAACCACTTCCAATTCCAGAATGGAAGTGGGAAAGAATCACAATGGATTTTGTATATGGTCTCCCGTCATCAAGGGGAAAAGATGCAGTATGGGTTATTGTGGACCGACTAACCAAATCGGCTCACTTTTTACCCATTAGATGGAAACCATCACTGGAGACTTTGTCTCAACTATATATTAAGGAGATCGTCAGATTGCATGGTGTGCCAATTTCTATTGTCTCTGATCGAGACCCGAGCTTCACATCTCGGTTTTGGCAAAGTTTACATGATGCCTTGGGAACTAAATTACATTTTACTTCAGCTTATCATCCTCAAACAGATGGGCAGAGTGAACGAACCATCCTAACCTTGGAGGAATTACTTCGATCATGTGTAATGCAATGGGAGGAATCATGGATTGACCATTTGCCCTTAATTGAGTTTGCTTACAACAACCAGTACCATAGTAGCTTGGGTGTCCCACCATATGAAGCACTTTATGGGAGGAAGTGTAGAACACCATTATGTTGGGATGTAGAAGGAGCAAGGCAAATCTCAGGGCCAGAGATAGTTCAGATCACCGTTGACAAGGTCAAGGAAATCAGGGAGCGGTTGAGGGTGGCTCAAGATCGACAGAAAGTTTATGTTGACACGAATAGGCGTGAAGTTAATTTCGAAGTGGGTGAGAAAGTATTTCTCAAAGTGTCACCATGGAAAGGGGTGATGAGATTTGGTAAGAAAGGGAAACTTGCACCTCGGTATATTGGACCCTATGAAATCACAGAGAAGATTGGACCCGTGGCATATAAACTAGCATTGCCTCCAGAGTTATCCCAAATCCACAATGTATTTCATGTTAGTATGCTGAAGAGGTACAAAGTGGATCCTTCCCATGTCATACAACCAGAAGAGATCGAGTTGGGTACAGATTTAACATTTGAAGAAGTCCCAGTGCAGATTGTTGACCATCAGGTTAAAACTCTTCGTAGAAAGGAAATTCCAATGTTGAAGGTTGTGTGGAGGAATCAAGATAGTGAGAGTGCTACCTGGGAGACTGAAGCAAGTATGCGAGAGAAGTACCCTGAGTTGGTAGCAACCTACTTTGCAGGTTAACAATCTTGCTTAGTAAGTTATGTTTTGAACTTGCTGACGTGTTTTTGTTGTGATAGCCCAGTATAGGTTTTTGAAACCTAAACATGGGAACTTGAGGTGTTATGTGTTACCTTCTATGTTATGAATTGCCTGACCTAAGAGTTAGGTAATGACTTTATGTGTGATAGACCAAGTTAAGGGTTAGTAAGAGGAGTTAGAGTACGACTCAAGGTTAGATTTCGGGGACGAAATCTTTGAAGGAGGGGAGAATTGTAACATCTCGTTCCGACAAAACTCATATTTCGATCGCTAGAAAGTTCGCGATTTAAAATCGAGCATTTCAACAGTATTTCGGCGAAAATCGGATTATCGATCGATCGGATAAGTATACGTATTAATTATATAATATCTCCTTAATATATAGTTGAGACAAAGTCTCCAGTGATGGTTTCCATCTAATGGGTAAAAAGTGAGCCGATTTGGTTAGTCGGTCCACAATAACCCATACTGCATCTTTTCCCCTTGATGACGGGAGACCATATACAAAATCCATTGTGATTCTTTCCCACTTCCATTCTGGAATTGGAAGTGGTTGCAGTTTTCCTACGGGAGCTTGATGTTCTGCCTTAACTTTCTGACATACTAGACATGTGAAAACATGTTCAGCCGCTTCCTTTTTCATCCCACGCCACCAAAAATATGGTTTGATCGTGTGATACATTTTAGTTGCTCCTGGGTGCATAGCATAAGCAGAAGAATGAGCTTCATCTAGGATCTCTTTCCTCAAGTTATCAACATTAGGAACACATGCTCTTCCATTAATCTTCAACATGCCATCTACCATTTCAAATGGGCTTTCTTTTCCTTCCTCAATGTCTTGAATGATTTTTGCCAACTCTGGGTCCTCCTTCTGCTTCTCATGAATTTTGTCATGCAACAAAGGTCGAATGTTCAACCGAGCTAGTAACCCTATTACACCATCCACTTCCAAATCCACATTCATTGCCCTCAAATCAACCAGATCATTTATATTCTTCTTCCCCTTTCTGCTCAGAGCATCAGCAACTACATTAGCTTTACCTGGATGGTAATCAATGGTACAATCATAATCTTTCAACAACTCTATCCATCTCCTCTGGCGACTATTTAAATCCTTCTGATCCATAATATACTTCAAGCTTTTGTGATCAGTTAGAATTTTAAAAGTCTCACCATACAAATAATGTCGCCAAATCTTGAGAGCAAATACCACCGCTGCCAATTCTAAGTCATGAGTGGGATAATTTACTTCATGAGGACGCAATTGCCTAGAGGCATATGCGATAACTCTTCCATCTTGCATTAACACACAGCCCAATCCTTGATACGAGGCATCACTATACACCACAAACTCTCCATGGTTTGAAGGTAAAGCCAGTACTGGTGCTGTGGTCAATCTCTTTTTCAGTTCATCAAAACTCTTTTGACATGATTCATCCCAAACATACTTAGTATTCTTCCTCAACAGTTTAGTCAATGGTGCAGCAATTTTAGAAAATCCTTCGACAAACCGCCGATAATAACCAGCCATGCCAAGAAAACTTCTCAACTCCGACACATCTTTTGGTGGAGTCCAACTCACCACTGCTTCCACCTTTTTCGGATCCACCTCGACACCTCTTCCAGAAATTACATGTCCCAGAAATATTACCTCCTTCAGCCAAAACTCACATTTTGAGAATTTTGCATATAATTGTTTCTCCCTTAGAATTTGCAACACAATTCTAAGGTGAGTTTTGTGCTCCTCCTCGCTTTTAGAATAGATGAGAATATCATCTATGAACACAATCACAAACTTATCAAGATATTCATGGAAAACTCTGTTCATAAGAGCCATAAATACCGCTGGTGCATTAGTGAGTCCAAAAGGCATTACCAGGAACTCATAATGCCCATATCTTGTTCTAAAAGCTGTCTTTGAGGTTGCTCCATCTGCCACTTTCAATTGATGGTATCCAGATCTCAAATCAATCTTAGAAAAGACTGATGCACCCTGCAATTGATCAAACAAATCATCTATTCTTGGAAGGGGATAACGATTCTTCACTGTCGCCTTATTCAACCTCCGGTAGTCAATGCACATTCTCATGGAGCCATCTTTCTTCTTGACAAACAAAACCGGTGCACCCCAAGGTGAGATGCTAGGTCGAATAAACCCCTTGTCTAACAATTCTTGCAATTGTTCTTTAAGCTCCTTCAGCTCAATTGGTGCCATTCTATATGGTGCCATTGAAATTGGTGTTGTGCCAGGTACCAATTCAATATCAAACTCTACTTCCCTTTCTGGTGGAAGGCCGGGAAGTTCTTCGGGGAATACATCAGGGAACTCCCTTACCACCTCTACATCCTCAACCTTCTTATCATTTACTATAGTAACTTGAGCAAGAAAGGCTTCACAACCTTCCTTCACTAATCGAAAAGCTTCCAAGGCAGAAAGAAAACCATGAGTCTCCTTTTTCTTAATGCCTCGGAATACAACAGGACCTTTATCTGGTGTGCTGAATAACACTTCTTTCTTTTGACAATCCACAACAGCTCCATGTGTTGCCAGAAAGTCCATTCCAAGGATGACATCGAATTCATCAAAAGGTAGCATAATTAAATTTGCTGCTAGGAAAGCTCCTTCCACACAAATGAAGGAACTTCTAATAACTGAGTCTACCTTCAAGGTATCTCCCACAGGTGTTTTAACACATAAGGTATAACCTAGCTTATCTGGAACTAAGCGTAGCATATGTGCAAACGTATATGACATGAATGAGTGAGAGGAACCAGTATCGATCAAAGCATATAATTGCTTGCCAAGGATAGAAAGCATACCAGTCACAACTTCTGGTGCCACTTCTGCCTCACCTCGAGTCATTGCATAAACCCTTGGTGCTCCCTGTGCTCTGGTACCCTGCGTACCACTTCCTGATGGCTGATTTCGACCACCACCTCTACCACCCTGTGAACCACCACGACCACTCTGAAATCCACTACGGCCTCCCTGGTAACCACCCCTGAATGGGGCTCTACTCATTTGCACTGAAGGCTCGGACTGTGTAGCTCTTACTTCTCTCGCATGCGGGCAATCCCTCATGATGTGCCCAGGTTGGCCACAGTGAAAGCATACACCAGAAAATCTCCTACACTCTCCAATATGCCTCTTCTGACAAACTTGACAAAATGGAAATTGTGTGGCTGAGGAAATTGGTGCCCTGTATGATGTTCCTGACATAGATTGACTCGGTGTTCTCCCAAAACTGCTAGGACCTCTCCTGGGTGGGTAACGAGGTCCAGCATAATTTACTCCAAACTTCCTCTTCTTCTCCTCTTCTTTAGCCTTGTGTTCCTCTCGGCTCTCAACTTCATAGGCTTCATACTTAAGTGCAGCCTCCTTGATTGTGGCCATGCTCTCTTCATCAACCCTGTGGATCTTTTCTTTCAATCCTATGCGCAGACCATGCAAGTATCTCATCTTCTTCTTTTGCTCAGTATCCGCCAACCCATCCTCAAAGTAAAGCAGTCGAACAAACTTGATGGTGTACTCAGTAACTGTCATATTCTCCTGCTTAAGGTTGGCAAATTCATTGTTCTTTGCCCTGATAAAAGCTTCGGGAAGAAACTCTGTCTTAAAGGCCTTCAGGAACTCCTCCCAGGTGAACTGAACTCGTTCACCATTAACTCTAGAGACTGAAGACCACCAGCTCCTCGCGTACCCCTTTAGGAGAAAAACAACATATTGCACTTTTTCCTCTGGGGTTGCATAAAGATATTCAAACACATCTTCCATCTCCCTCAACCACTCTACCACAGCATCCGGACTCACATCTCCTTTAAAGTCCCTACCACCCAAACTCTTCATCTTTGCATAATCTAATACTGGCGGTCTTGCATCAACCGCCCCCACTCCTCTCGACTGGTCAGTAGGAACATTTTCACAACTTCCGTGCGAACTACAAGGAAATATTGGCCTTAGATTGATCCACACAAAATTCATTCTTCACCAAATCTCTCACTTGGTTAAAACAAAAAATTTCCAAAATAATTACTTGAAAACAAATAAATTCGAAACTCAATTTTGAAAACCATGATGCAGGTAATGTCATCCAATATACCAATACACATAATCATGTCAAACTCAATTCCCAGTTTAAGTCATTATGGGGTACTCCCCTCCTTAGGAGTGTTTAAACTCCCATAGGGTATAGTACGCCATAACAGCAAAAAGAGGGAACCGGGCTCTGATACCAAACTGTAACACCCTACCCTATACGTTTTGCCTAATCATATTGTTTATACAATTGCAGCGGAATTAATCTCGGGCGTTACATTAATTATCAAAATTTACCTAAATAAAATTTCGACATGAATAACTCGCGTAATGGGCTAACAGTTCTTGCAACTTAACCTGCAAAATAATTCATCACAAACATATATACTCACAACCATATGCATTGGCTTTTCTTAGCCATAGTCACACTTTCATACTCCGCAACTGCATACCTTACTAATACATACCATAATCGTCACAACTTACACAGTTACACAACATATACACATATCATTAACTTTCCACACCTGTGGATATCTCACACTACATTCGAAGCTAGAATGCACATGAAAATGTTCTCAAAACATTTTTACAAAAAGGTGTGGATCACTGGCCAAAATCCCAAGTAGTAGTCCAAGCACAGAATAGTTGAAGACCATACCTCATCCTGGCTTCAACTCTAGCTCCTCTCCCACCTAACACTTATCTACTGCTGCTGCTGATGATCTGCTTACACATAGCATAAGCAGAGAAGAAGAATAAAAGAGGGTCAGCTCATAGCTGAGTGAGATAATCATAGCATCGTGAGTTCATAACAGAGCATACCCCTACCATACATCTAACAAACAAGCCAAAGCACTGGGATCAGATCTCAGCCCTCCAACATCCCAATAGGCAAAAGACTCAATCACCTTGACTTATGCATATGCATCTTATCATGTTTTAATCATAGGCGCCTGGCTACTCCCATGCTAATAACTCTCCCGGGAAACATACCCCACATCCCGTCGGATGTAGTCATACATACCCCAACATCCCGTCGGATGTGGTCATACATACCCCACACCACTATGGGTGTAGTCATACCCCAACACCGCTCTGGGTGTGGTCATATCTCGTAAGAATTCTTCAGTCACCACCACATGAGAGGTGTGACTATCATACATATCATAATAGAGTAATAGCATAGGGAGCCCTAATTACTATGTAGTTGACCGTGAGACCACAACACTCATATTTGGTATCCTTATACATGATTCATATATCATCTTGCTTAATCATAATTCGTTACTTGCACATGTACTTGACCTGCCCATAATTGGCTCAACATAGGTAAACCAGGAGTCGTATAATTGCACTTCCTCGGGATAAACCCTCGTGCAAGTCATCCTCCTTAAACATCATAATATCACCCTGGGAAGTTTATTCCCCCACTTATGGATCCAAATACAACCATAATATCACACCATGTCAAAACCCCTTATCGAACAACCATGAAGTCATATCAACAATTAAGCCACAAATGGCAACATGTATGCAATCATCAACATAAACAAGGTTCATATCGGCTAGGGCAAGTCAATAATATCATACAACAATCCATGGTTCATCATATAGCATAAAAGCTCATACACCCCTAATCATGTCATTCTAATTCACCTAGATCAATTCTAAGCATCAATATAATTATCGTGATACGACAAACCCGGTATGCCGTGCTAATCCCTCACCAGTTCTGGTCGTTCAAACACCGGTTCTAGCCTCCGGTACTAAAACATCAATTTCACGAACGAACCCCGAATTAAAATCCGAGACAGTCCTAATATCCCCTGCAGTATCCCCGTCAATATTAGTTCTGGGCTCCGGGTCAAATTCTCGATAAAAACACATCAAACCCTGGCCGGAGCTAAATTCAGCGGTTCCGGCTCCGACCTAAATAATAGCTAAAATTCAGGGATTAGAACTAGAGGATTGATTACCTCGCTGCAGGAAGCTCGTATATGAAATTTGGGCTCAATCCGGCTTCCGGATACTCCGAAACCCTAATTTGGCAGATCGGGAATTCAAGAAATTCCTGAACCAAAAACTCGTTTTAAAGCTCTAAATCGATAAAACACGATGAATAGATGAATTAGGCATTACTTACGGGATTTTTGGATCACTAGGGCTCAAGAATTTGAGCTTTGGAATTTTGGCCGAGCGCTCTGCGCGTGCTCTGCTCTCGGCTTTCTCTCCACCGAGATGAAAGAAGAAGAAGAAATGGCTCTGCTTCTATCGACCATTTACTAGTATATATATATATATATATATATATATATATATATATATATATATTATATAATTAATACGTATACTTATCCGATCGATCGATAATCCGATTTTCGCCGAAATACTGTTGAAATGCTCGATTTTAAATCGCGAACTTTCTAGCGATCGAAATATGAGTTTTGTCGGAACGAGATGTTACATTCAATCTCGATCGTTAATCTCGCTGTCGTAATAGATTGTCGGGGAACGGAACGCACAGAACTTCCTCTGCGTGCTGTAGGCAGAATGTGATTCCTTCGCTATCAGAGTCTGTTGAGGAGGAGAAAAAAGAGATTCAGATAACAAAATGAACTGAATTAGCACCAGAATGTCCTGCGACAAGCTCTCAAGAACAGACTTCTCCTCTGGCTGCTGCTCGTCCATCTCCGCCATCACTGCGTCCAACCGCTTGCTGCAGAGCCTCTTCAAAGGAGTCCGAGGACTCATCTCCAAATCCCAGAAGCAGTTCTGAGAGACGACGATGTTGGACCTGGTTTGGAAGCTAGAAGAAGAAGTAATCTGAATCCCTTGCGGAGAAGGATTGGAGCGGCTCTTTATGAAGACTGAAGTTTAGTGAAACTGCAGCGTTTGGATAGTTGTGTTTTGGTACTTGTTTTATTTAGTTATGTCAGTTTGGTCAGTATCCGTTGTGAACAACAGATCGAGCAAACAGAGTGTTGATCTTCAGCTGTTGCTTGGTTTAGAGGTTGCTGATTGTTAGGAGAGTGGTTTGGGTAGTTGTTTCTTGGCCGATTTATATGGCTGAACCTCTTGTATTTATTCTCTCTTCATTTCAATAAACAAATTGTCAGATTGCAACCAGATTTAGGCTTTCATTGTGGTATCAGAGCCGATCTGCAAGCTGTAACCAGAGAGTGAGTGAAATCTGCCATCAATTGCAGAGTGGGTATTTGGGAAACACGAGAGATTAACGTGAGGAATCAAGAAAGAAATTTGGGTGTTAGAAACATGAGTGAAGGAAGCAGCAGTTATGCACAGGTGTGCATACCCAGATTCGATGGAGATTTTGATCACTGGAGCCTGTTAATGGAAAATCTCCTTCGATCAAAAGAGTACTGGAGGTGGTGAGTGAAGGTTTCAAGGAGCCTACAAATGGAGAAGTCTTATCTGAGGCTCAGTCCAAAAAGCTCGAAGAACTCAGGCTCAAGGATCTGAAAGCCAAGAATTACCTTTTCAGTTCCATTGATAAGGTGATCTTGAAAACCATCACAAATAAGAGGACTGCTAAGGAACTATGGGATTCCATGAAGATCAAGTACCAGGGAAGTGCAAGGGTGCAGAAAGCTCAGCTGCAAGGTCTAAGAAGAAGTTTTGAGCTGCTGGAAATGAAAGAAGGTGAAACTATAACTGAGTATTTCAGTAGAGTAATGGTTATTGCAAATTCGATGAGGAACTGTGGTGAGAACTTAACTGATGTGAACATTGTTGAGAAGATTCTGCGAACTTTGAATGAAAAGTTCAACTTTGTGGTCTGCTCAATTGAGGAGTCAAAGGATATAGAAACCTTGACTGTTGATGCTCTCCAAAGCTCCCTGATTGTGCATGAACAAAAGATTCAAAGGAAGAATGCTGGTGAGGAAGATCAGGCTCTGAAGGCATCACATGAGTATGCTGGAAGAGGTGGTAGAGGCTATGGAGGCAGAAGCTATCAAGGAAGAGGCCGAGGAAGAGGATGAAGAGGCTGGAACAAGGAGTCTGTGGAATGTTTCAAATGTCACAGACTGGGGCACTACAAGTATGAGTGTCCAGAGTGGTAAAAAAACCAGCAATCCTACTATGCTAGCTATCAAGGAAGGAGCCAGGGAGATCTAAAAGATGACATGCTGCTTATGGCCTATCTGGATACTGAGCAGAACTCCAAAGAAGTCCTTCACAGCAATGAAACCTGGTGGTTTCTGGACTCTGGTTGCTCCAATCACATGAGTGGTGACAGGAGCTGGTTTACTGAACTAGACACCAAGTTCCATTGCACTGTCAGGCTAGGTAATGACACCAGGCTGAATGTTGAGGGAAAAGGTACTGTCAAAGTGCTGGTGAATCAGACATCTTTTCTGGTACAGGAAGTGTTTTTTGTGCCTGAACTCAAGTCCAATCTGCTAAGTGTGGGCCAACTACAAAAAAAGGGTCTCTCTTTTCTCATCAAAGGAGGAGTGTGCAAACTATTTCATGAAGAAAGAGGTCTGCTGTTGCAAACAGAAATGAAATCCAACCAAATGTTTGTCCTACAAACTGAATCAAGAAGAGAAAGAGAGGGCCAATGTTTGCAAGTGGATCAGTCAAAGGAAGACTCCCTGGAATTGTGGCACAGAAGATTTGGGCATATAAGTGTTCAAGGGTTGCTGGATGTTCAAAAGAAAAACCTGGTTCAAGACCTGCCAAGTCTGAAAGGGGAAACAGGAGTTTGTCAGACTTGTATGATGGGGAAGCAACATAGACTTCCCTTTCCTAAGAAGAGAAACTGGAGAGCCACACAAAAACTCCAACTTCTTCATGCTGATTTGTGTGGACCTATAACTCCAACTTCAAATGGTGGCAAGAGGTACATCCTGACTTTAACTGATGATTTCAGTAGGAAACTCTGGATGTATTTTATGCCAGCCAAATCTGATACCCTGTAACACTTCAAGAAGTTTAAGAGTTACATAGAGAAGGAAACTGGAAACAGTATTCTGTGTTTGAGAACTGACAGAGGAGGAGAATTTTTGCTGCATGAGTTTAAAGATTTGTGTGATGAGGCTGGAATAAAAAGACAGCTTACTGCTGCTCTTACACCTCAGCAAAATGGGGTGGCTGAGAGGAAGAACAGGACTGTGATGAATATGGTAAGGTGTGTTCTGGAGGATTGCAAGGTTCCTGCTTCCTTCTGGCCAGAAGCAGTAGCATGGGCTACTCATGTACTCAACAGGAGTCCCACTGCAGCTAATCAAGGAAGAACAGCTCAGGAGCTATGGACAGGGCATCCTCCATCAGTCTCACACCTAAGGGTGTTTGGATGTGTGGCATATGTCCATGTACCTGACCAGAAGAGAAAGAAGTTAGACAACAAAAGTGTGAGATGCCAATTCCTGGGTATCTTAGTAGAATCCAAAGCATACAAGCTGTTCAATCCAACCACTAGGAAGGTGATAATTAGCAGGGACATGGTATCTGATGAGCAAAAGGGTTGGGATTGGGAGACTGAAACAAAACCAGTACCCACACAGATCCACTGGGAAGGGAGTGATGATGATTGGCTGGATTCAGACACTGAAGGAGAAGAACCTGCTGAAGGATCAAACAGTAATCCTGCAACAAATCAGTCATCACCACCAGCAAGTCCTGCACCAGTTACTCCTAACACAAACCAGGAAGAAGAAGGTTTTGGCTCTCCTACTGATGTTCTTGGCCTGCCTGCCACTGAACTTGGACCTCGAGTAAGACATCCTCCCAGCTATTTATCAAACTATGATTGTGGATTTGCTGATACAGAATGGAGAGCTATGGTAGCTGTGTCAGATGATCCTGTCACATTTGAAGAAGCAGTGGCTGATCCTAAGTGGAGAAAAGCAATGAATGAGGAAATAGCTTCCATATTAAAGAACAAGACATGGATGCTAACAAAGATTCCAGAAGGAGTAGTTCCAATTGGCCTCAAATGGATATTCAAAACCAAGTATAAGTAAGATGGGACAGTTGATAAATACAAAGCCAGACTGGTGGTGAAGGGATTCACACAAAAGCAAGGCATAGACTACAATGAGGTATTTGCTCCTGTTGCTAGATGGGATACTATAAGGATTCTGTTAGCTTTTGCAGCATTTCATAGACTACAATGAAACTCATTTCCTGAAGTCTGGATTTGAGAGAAGTCCATATGAACATACACTGTTCATTAGGAAAGAGGGGGAGAAGATCTTAGTTGTTAGCCTGTATGTGGATGATTTGTTATACACAGGAAACAGTTCCAGGCTAATGAATGAATTCAAAGACTCCATGAAGGTTGAGTTTGAGATGACTGATCTCGGGAAAATGAGGTTCTTTCTGGGGGTTGAAGTTATTCAGAATGATGCTGGGATCTTTATTTGCCAGCAAAAGTACATTAAAGATGTACTGAGCAACTTCAAACTGGAAGCCTGCAACTCTGTATTGAATCCCCTAGCACCAGGAATGAAGATGACCAGAGCAAGAGATGGATTTCCAGTCAATCCTACTGAGTACAAAAGGCTGATTGGCAGCCTGCTATATGCCACAGCAACCAGGCCTGATCTTATGTATGTGGTTTGTCTTCTTAGCAGGTATATGGAAACTCCTACTAGGCAGCATATGTTGGCTGCCAAGATGGTGATTTGATATCTCAAAGGAACCTTAAGCATGGGGGTCTGGTACAAGAGAAGAAGTGAAGAGGCTCAGCTACTTGGCTTCACTGACAGTGATTATGCAGGTGATGTTGATGACAGGAAAAGCACTAGTGGATACACCTTTTTCCTTGCAGGTGGAGTGGTGTCATGGGCCTCCAAGAAGCAACCTGTGGTTACTTTGTCAACCACAGAGGCAGAATTTGTAGCAGCCTCATTTTGTGCAGCTCAATGTGTGTGGATGAGAAGGATTCTTGAGCAAATTGGATGGAAGGAAAGTGTCACTGGAGCCACGAAGATTATGTGTGACAACAGCTCTGCCATCAAGCTTTCCAAAAATCATGTGCTTCATGGCAGAAGCAAGCACATCGACATTCGATTCCACTTTCTCAGAGAGTTGGCTGCTGAAGGAATTGTGGAGCTGGAACACTGCAGAACCCATGAGCAGATTGCAGATATCATGACTAAGGGGCTTAAGACTGAGACCTATCAACTGCTAAGAACTGAACTTGGAATGGTGGATCTGTCAGAGTTCGAAGCTGCAAGCAAAGAGGTGAACTGAAGCAAACAAACCTGCTTCAGTTCAGGGGAGGATATGTTGGACTTGGTTTGGAAGCTAGAAGAGGAAGTAATCTGAATCCCTTGCGGAGAAGGATTGGAGCGGCTCTTTATGAAGACTGAAGTTTAGTGAAACTGCAGCGTTTGGATAGTTGTGTTTTGGTACTTGTTTTATTTAGTTATGTCAGTTTGGTCAGTATCCGTTGTGAACAACAGATCGAGCAAACAGAGTGCTGATCTTCAGCTGTTGCTTGGTTTAGTGGTTGCTGATTGTTAGGAGAGTAGTTTGGGTAGTTGTTTCTTGGCCGATTTCTATGGTTGAACCTCTTGTATTTATTCTCTCTTCATTTCAATAAACAAATTGTCAGATTGCAACCAGATTTAGGCTTTCAGACGATCCTTTTCCTTCCGAATGACCTCACCCTTGCGAACTCGAACGACGGGCACTTCTCGCTGCCGCCGCCGCCGCAGTAGCTCGACGACGACTACCAGTTCATCGAGCTGCATCTCCTTCCTAGTGGAAATGGTAAGTGATTAAATCTCTTCTCCGTGTTGCTTTTAAAAGTGAACGGAGGTTTTGTGGAGTTTATCTTTAAAAACAAAATTTGTTATTATTGTTGTGTTGTTTTTTCTATTTATGCTGAAAATAATTAATAAGTGAAAAGGAAGGGGCAAAATAGTCACTTCACACTCCCTTTAACGGTCAATGGATGGAGAAATTAACAGAAGGTTAAGTTTGTTACGTTTTGATAATAGAAGGGTATGTTTGTGTGGAAAAAATAATAAAAGGGCACGTTTGTTACCTTGCAATAGTAGAGGGGCATAAAATGCTATTAACCGTGCCTTTTGATTTCAATTATTTTATATCTCAATTATTTTAACTGCGACCTCGACAATGTTGCAAGAGGAGAGAAACGACACAGTTCAGTGACAAACAATGTCGCGAGGGACTTAATGTTTGATGAAATTGATGACTGGGTTAGAGGGTCGAGTGATTCGACATCACCGTGAAGTTGCGAAGTTGACGCAAAAATCAAACAGTGTCATAGAATAAAAAATCAAACAGTTGCGAGGTTGACCATGTTATGGGTTGGGTTCACGTGTTGGGTTAGGCGAATCTGACGTGGCGGGTAAAATTGACTTGGTGGGTCGGGTCTCTTTTTTTTTTTTTTTTTGTTAAATTAAGCTGATTGGGCGAAATTGTTAGCCACGTCAGCAGATAACAGACTTTGTTATTAACGGAGACGGACGGAGACTAACGGAGAGTTACCAACCGGGAAATGTTAACACTTTCGGTGACTATGAATGGAATAAAATTCTTTTAGTGACCAAACGTGAATATTTTATTACTTCCAGTGACCAACCTATTATTTCATATAATTCACTTTCTTATAGCAAACGAAAAAGATTTCGGGCCCCGAATCTCAAATACTGGCTTCGCCCCTGCACACAATGGATCGTTCCTAATTATGTGAAAAACGCGTATGACGTAGTTACTCACCCCCACCATTGTATACGTAGATTTCCCGGTTGACACCTACGCACGCGATCTTTCGATACGTTTCTCGACGCTCTCGAGTAGAGGATCTCCTTGATGGCGCGAGATCTACTCCAAACTACGTTATAACTATTCGTAAAAAATACGAAAAGTTAAACTGGAATATTCTTCTTCATATAGTGAATAGAATAAACTTCGTAAATGCATATTTATTTATAGGGCAGGGCTTAAACCCTGAACTAAACCTAACCCTATTCGGCTACTCCCACTTGCCGCCGCCTACTCCAAGACTAATCAATCCTAATAATACATGACAAATACCCCTACGGGCTACGGACTAATCCAATCCTATCCCAATTATGAATGATAATGAGAATAATTAATCAATAAGGAAGAAAGAATATACGTAACGTAACAACCATGCATCCGCCGATTATTATTTTATATATTATTACTGATGGGCCCGGCCCGGCCCGCCCGGAGCCGAATTCGAGTCGGGTTTGGTGAATTGCGGTTTATCTCTACGTACGTACGTTACGTATATAAATAGTTAGAAGTTGGTGATCGAGGGGGTCTGACCGCATAGAATTAGAATAGGAGAATCCAATCCATCGGAATGACGTCGGAGGAAGCAACAAGAAGGGACTGGGCCGGGCTGCCGTGGAACGTCCTCTACTCGGTGCTAACTCGCGTGCCCTCTCTACAAGACTACCTCCGATTCAGCTCCGTGTGCAAGCCGTGGAAGTCGGCAGCTGAGTCGGACAATCGAGGCCGCATCGCCACGGGCCACAACCAGCCGCCGCTCCTCCTGGTCCCGACCCAAGACCGCAGCCGCGAGAGCCGAGCTCTGTACAGCGCTGCCGCCGCCGCGGGAAACAAGCTCATCGTCCCCAACCTCAACCTGCCCGTCCCTCACCACCACAGGATCAGCTGCTGTGGCTCCTCCCACGGCTGGCTCGCCTTCACGGAACTGGACTACAGCGTCACGCTCTACAACCCTTTCACCCGCGCCCAAATCCGCCTCCCTCGATTCAAGACCATGCCCGAGTTCGTCGCCGACCCCGCCGTAATCCATCCTCGAATCCGGAACCTGCCCGAGTTCCCCGCCGACCCGTGCTTCCCGTACTACATGGTCAAGAAGGTGGTGCTATCCGCCGATCCTTCCGTCTTCCCCGACGATTACGTGGCCGCCGCGCTTGTCGGCGGGAATGGGTCTTTGGCCGTGGTCAGAGCCGGGGAGAAAGAATGGAGACACGTTACGGCTTGGGCTGCCGATCATTGTTGCCGTGACAACAACCCTTACAAAGACGCAATGTACCTCTTGATGTTCGGACTGCTACGCGACGTCGTATTCCACGGAGGAGGAGGAGGAGGCTCGATGATCTACACCACCGGGGATCGCGGGCTGCTTGCACGTGTCAACCTCGCCCTCCTGGAACTGGAGCTGGAGTTGGTGGTCCCGCCGTGGTTTCCGGATCGCCTTCTCGACCGCGTCGACGCGTACAGATACTTGGTGGAGTCATCCGACGGCCGAGATCTCTTCATGGTCGTGCGGCTGGACGAGAGGATGATGGGATTAGGCGACAGGTCTTGCATCACCACCAAAGACTTCAAGGTGTTCAAGCTTCATCAAGAGACGACGAGCAGGCGGCTGCGGTTTGTGGAGGTGGCGGATTTGCAAGGGGACGCCGTGTTTGTCGGGGATAATAATCACTCGACGGCGGTCCTGGCTTCGGCGGCCGGTGGTGGCGGTTGTAAGCCCGATTCAATATATTACACCTACGACTTCACTTGGGTTTTTCCCCTGGGGCTGGGACGTCATGATATGGGAGTGTTCAGCGTCAAGGATAAAGAAATTAGCTCTCATTATGTCCCCACGCCGGCGCAAAACCTAGGCATGCCACCGCCGATTTGGATCCTGCCTACGGTGCCTCCGCAACTCGAATTTAATTAGGCTAGCTACTTCTATATATAGCAACTATATATATATATACATTACATTGCATTACATGCATAATAAGAGACTCTGTGGTTTGATTTGCTACTTGCATTGCTACCAACTATATATGCATGTCTCTTTATCGTCAGAGTATGTATGTATGTATGTTACAGTTCGTTTAATTGCTAATAAAACGTGAACAATAACTACTTCCCGTCCATTTAATTGCTTTTGCATTTATGCTTTTTCAGTACTTCTGAACATGTAGACTCTGAACACTCTAATTAATCGACCGTGCCGCAGCAATAGTGCTGGCTATTTGGTCCGGATTGTTTGGTTTTACCCAAAACCGGACCGTATAACCCGGACCGGGACCAGACTGGGACCGGATAGCAAACAATCCAATCTCATATTCGGGCTTAGATTTGAGGTAAAACACCCGAATAAGAGACCCCCAACACCTAAAATAAAGATCAAATTGGGACCGGATCGAGTCAAAACCGGACTGTATCCAATCCAATCTTTGGTCCTTATATTCCCGAAAAGACCGGACTGGGACCGGATCAATTTGGTCCAATTTAACCGGACCGGACCGTATAGCCACCCTACAATGCATGGCCTTGGGAACAGTTTTAGTTATTTCATGACAGGCTAGGCTAACAAATCCGTTAACAATCAACTCAACTTCTTACGTTGTTGTTTAAACTTGTCCACTAAAGCACAAAAAGAGGAATTGGGCAGGCTCATAATGATTAATGCATGACTGGGAGCCCAATAGTTGGCACTCGATCGCTAAACTATGGGAAATACAGAACAGAAAACCAATACATAATAAATTAAAAACATTGAATAACAAGCTACAGAATAGTAAATTAGTTAAGGCTAACAACCCGGACAGACAACCTAACTTGGCTGGCACACTAGCTAGCTAATTGCGACGAACAACTACTACGACGCTAGCTGTGACGGCGAATCATGTGCTGCGCCGCGTCCTCAAACCTACGAAAGCGGCGCTGACAGGGGCAGAGTAAGCTAGCCTCGGCGAGGTGGCAGTGGTGTTGGTGCGCAATCACCCCGGACAGATCGCTGAAAATCTCCCCGCAGATGTTACACCAAACATCGGAATCGTAGTAACCCTGATGGTGATCATCCCGCTCGTGCATAGCGCGGTCCCATGCATTATCGAATTCCCGAGGGCACGCTGCACACCGGAACACTACTTGTGGAGCAGCAGCGCCGGCTTTTTTGGCAGCGGCGTCGGCACTATTGCCGTTGTTGACAGCATCGGCAGTACTGTTGGCGTTCTCGGCGGCCATGATTGATCTCTTTGTCAGAACAGAGAAGCGTGGCAACCGATAATCCAAACCAACACGAACGAACACAGATTTAACGTGGTTCACTAACACAATATGTGTGCTAGCTAATCCACAGGCGCAGGGGAGAACAAATTTCACCAATCGGAGAGTACAGGTTACAAAACAAATTACAAACGGACAAACCAAACCAGACTAACCTGACTGACCTTACTACAGACTAGGGTGACGAAGAGTATTTATAAAACTCTTCTCCTAATCCCAAACAGAAAACCAAACACCTTTTCCCAAACATACAAGGAAAAAGGTCAAACAAAGCCCAAACACAAACCCAAACAAAATAGGTCCAAACACAAAATAAACCTAAATCAAATTCAAGTCATATTCTAACACTCTCTTTGAGATGGTGTAAGATCAAATCTTGACATATAATTGCATGCTTATATTGGCATTAGTCATGCAAATTTGCACGTTTTTTTTTTTTAGTTAGAATGCATAATTTAAACTTCTAGCAGTCAGAGATCACCACAATTATGTGATGTTGTCGATATATCTATGTGGCCATTATAAACGGGGTAGTTTAAGTGCATTAGTACCCCCAAAATTTTGGATCATACAATTCCAACATTGTTTTATGTCAAAATACACTTTTATAATCATAACTATTTGCCTTGTGATAATAATAGTCACTTTTTAATAATCATAACTCGATGGGCTGTGGCCTCCAGGGCATCCAGCCAGCAGATCAGAGGGTGCCGATTGAAGCAAGGCCCTCGAGTTGACTTCTAGGGATAGCCAAAGGGTGATTATTTTGGTTCATGTAATTATAATAAGAAAAATCATTTTCCATATGGCATAGTTTTTTACAACAAAAAAAACCACATCAGCAAAAATTGCTAGTACAATCAGCATTTTTTATAATTATGTTAACATTTTGGATGGAATGGCTATTTTAGTGTATTATTCAAAAAGTTATTATTATTGTCACAACGCGAATAGTTATAACTATGAAAGTGTATTTTGGCTTATTTTATAAGTGATGATGTATATTAACAGGATGCACAATTGTGTCCCTCAATGTGTTACATATAAATAGAAGGCAAAGAGTCTAAAGGAGCAGTATTAAGAGTTTGAGAATACAACATAAGCTCATTGACAAAACAATTTCATAATTCCATCAACTGTGTTTTAGCCTTTTAGGTATCCACAATATCTCTTTATTTATTTTTATTTAGAGGGTGATATATGTTTATTTTTATTTTTGTAATTAAGTACTACTTAAGAAATTCGAACCTCGCTCTAGATTTAAGGTTAGTAGTATTATCACTAGACCATAAAAGAGGCTCTCTTTTGACACTTTTCATGATCTGTCAAGTGTCAACCACTCAGCAATCATAGGAAACAATTCAAATGTACCACTGTTTGAAAAAAGAATTCCAAAAATACCACCCAATCCCAAAAAATTCCAAAAATACCACCCTTTTTCAAAAACCGCCACCCCACCTTGCGGTTTACACGAAAACCGCTGTGCAGGGGCGCGGTTATATATGCAAACCGCGGGCCTAGGGGGCGGTTATAAAAAAAAAATTTGGACCAAACCGCTGGGTGGGGTGCATAGAAAACATCGCCCCCGCCCAGCGGTTTTCGTGTAAACCGCAGGGTGGGGTGGCGGTTTTTGAAAAAAGTGGTATTTTTGGAATTTTTTGGGGTTGGGTGGTATTTTTGGAATTCTTTTTTTAAACAGTGGTATTTCTGAAAAAAGTCCGCAATCATAGACCACTCTTGTAATAACTCCATCTTGATTGCATTCTGACTTCTTAGAAAATCCTTTTGTTTTGTTACGTTGATGCCAAACACACGACAAAATCATTTCACAACTTCTTTAACGCGGCCACTTAATAGATAATTAGATGGAAGATTAAACTATTTTTGTGCAAAATATTAATAGACATATACGTTTGTTAATTTTCCACAATAAATAAATACGAAATGCTATTAACCTAATAATTTAATAAATTTTACATAGCCATTTCCTCTTCACTGTAACCTAATCACTGGCGGATCCAGGGGGTGGCCACCCCAGGCCCCGGCCCAGCCCTCCTCAAGATCCGTAGTTACTATAGTCCTTATGAAATTTTTGATTTTAGACATTCAATCCAGTGTTATTCTATGATAAGATTGGGTTTAACTAGAAAAATTATCAAGTTAAACATATTCAAATCACTATTATAAATTTAGCATAGAAATTTTAGCCCCAAAGATTATGCGTCTTAAAAAAACAATGAAACCTAAAATTCTAAAAAGTTAAAAACGTAAAAGACTAAAAGAAATATGAGGTTTGTTCCCTTACAAATTTACTAAAGCAGGTGGTGTGCAGGGATGGACACACAATGTAAATTGATTAGTCAATTGATTTATCTAGTGTTGATGCTGCTCGTTTCAACAGCTACTACGAAGAGAACTTTTTTAACAATGAAACATGTGAGAACTGATTTGCTCAACAAAATGAGCGATGAATTTTTCGCCGATTGCTCAAGTATTTTATTTGAAACAATGTATACTATTGGTATGGATGTAGACTTCATTATTGATGCATTCCCTCAATTAAAATACAGTTGTGTACAATTTACATTGCAAAAAACTATAATCATTATATTTTTTTACAGTTCTAATTTTCTAATGAAATGCGGCCCAGTGCTTTTCTGTGTTCTGGATTCGCCGCTGAACCTAATGGAGGAACCCCACGTATGAGCATATGATCAATTTGACATACCCATCATAAAATGGCCTGCATAACACAAACAATAACCTAGCACTAAGTTGCCGTCTTTCCTGCTTCTCCGTCTCATGTCCCGTCCAAAATCAAAGTTGTTAAATGTCTCCATCCCGTCCAAATTTAATTAACATCTAATAATAAATTAATATAATTAAACCAATGAGATAAGGCCATGTGGCTGGGTAGCAGCGTTGGGCTGCAACCCAGACAGCAGCCAAATTTTGCCCTGCGGAATTTATAACAGAAACACAACGACAGTATTATTTCTTATTGGTTGATTGGCAACTGAACATGAGTAGGCACCAATTCAAATACACAACAACAACAACAACATAACACAGACACGTACCGGTGTACGTACATGCATGCATGCATGCATGGAACACGTGCATGGAAGAAAAGGAAAAGGGTTGAGACGACGTAGAGTTACGTAGTTAGAAGCATTATGAATTTAGGTGAAGGCAGCGAGAGCGGCCCTGAGGTTTGCGATCTGTTTATCTTTCGCCGCGAGCTGGTCGTCTTTCTCCTTGGCCTGCTTCTTCAGCTCGTCGCTCTCCTTCTTCGCCGCATCTTCCCTCGCTTGGGCCTGCTCTTTCAGCTCCTGGATCTCCTTCTGGGCCGCTTCTTCCCTCTCCTTGGCCCGCTTCTCCCGCTCCGCCGCCTCTTCCTGCAGCCTCTTGTTCTCCTTCTCCTTCTCCTCCAACTCCTTCTTCACCTGGGCCGAACCACCACCACCACCACCTCCGCCCTCCTCCATCAGCTTCCCCGTGATCCGCTCGAACCGGTCCCACCCGGTCCCAACCGGGACGGGGACGGTGACCCCGTGGTTGGACCACTCGTAGAGGTCGTTGAGCCGGTACAGGATCCCGCCCGGCTTGAACCGGCCGTTGTCGGTGCCGCGGTTGTGCCACGTGAACGTGAAGCCTTCTCGGTTGATGCTGAGCTGGCGGCCGTAGAGGTTCTGCCAGAGCTGCTCCACCTTCTGCGGGTTGAGCGCGGAACCGAAGACTTCCAGCTCGCGGTGGCTGCAGTACTGGTTGCTACCGATCCGAGCCACTGGCGTCCAGGCGGCCACGTCGTCGGGGAGATTGTGGGTGTTGAGGTCCGGGGAAAACGGCCCCGTATTGACCCTGATCGTGTGGTCGACGAGTGCAAGCAGCCAGAGATTGTTGGAGTCCATCACGAAGCGAGACATTTTTTTTTTTGCTCTCTTTCTCGACCACAGTATCTAATTTACTTTAACTTGCGTGATTGATGTGTTTGGATTTGAAGATTAGTGTCTCCTATTTATAGCCAAAAAACCATTGTGCTTCCCTTTCTTAGTAGTTTGCTTAATTTCCTTAGTGAGTAATTCATCGTAATCATAGGGGGGATTTGCTTTTTTTTTTTTTTTGTTACATATATTCACGTGGTTAACAATATAATAATTACATATTACATCCTTTTTCTACTTTATAATGATATGATAAGTTTTAACTAACAACTAGTGTGCATGTGATCCAGCTTGTCCTGGGATCGCGTACTTAATAGAGTTTGGCGTCGTGATACATGTGCATAAAATTAGTTTGCAAATCTGACTCAAAAAAGGTAGAATACGAAATGAAAAGATGCTTCTACTTCTAGAGCTGCACAACACTTAATTACTATGATAAGGAACATAATAATTAGTACCAGCTGGTGGTTAGTGAATTATGATTTATGATGCATTTGCCCATCTCTAATATGATAATGGCATACGGGTTCAAGAACTTTTTAGGCTAATACTTTAAAATTTCGAGTTAAAACTGATAAGATATTACTATAAAAGATACCTTTGACAATGATTTTGTAGCAGAGCTCAAAACCACCCTTTTATAGCAATTTCCCAAATTACCGTTTTGGCGGTATATATGTTTCATGCATGGACTCAGAAAACCACTGCCACGGAGTTAATTATTAGTCGATTTTAGTATTCACACAGTTCGTCGCTTTTCCATTCTATTCCTCACAAATTTCACCATAAGTCATTCATAATTTACTTTTTATTTGAAGAATTCAGAATTTAGAGACTTAGGATTAGCGTTTAGTTTATAGTTTGGGGGTTTATGGTTAGAGTTTAGAATCGAAGGTAGAGTGCTTAGGCAATGTATTTGTTAGTTGTGATGCTATACTACATCATCATATTATACAAATGTTTTCAATTAAAATACAAAATTTAAAGTCTTAAAGCTTATTTTCTTAGTTGGTGTATAGTACGCATTCATTTTGATGAGTATACCGTGCGGCCAACTACATAGTTTCATGTATTCACGTGGTTAACAATATAATAATTTCATCCTTTTATCTTCTTTCCAAGGATCTTGATTATAAGCTATAACTAATAACTAGTGCATGTGTCCCAGCTTGTCCTCGGGTCGCGTGCATAATCGCTTGTTATTATAGATTCACGTGGTTAACAATACATTATTTACATCTTTTTTTCTTTTTTCCTAATGATCGGTGTCAACATTATGAGTTGCATTGTAGTTATGATCATTGGCGGATCCAGGGGTGGCCACCCAGGCCCCGGCTCAGTCCTCCTCTGGATCCGTAGTTACTATAGTCTTTATGAAATTTTTGATTTTAGACATTCAATCCAGTGTTATTCTATGATAAGATTGGGTTTAACTAGAAAAATTATCAAGTTGAACCTATTCAAATCACTATTCTAAATTTAGCCTAGAAATTTTAGCCCCAAAGATTATGCGTCTTTAAAAAACAATGAAATCTAAAATTCTAAAAAGTTAAAAACGTAAAAGACTAAAAGAAATATGAGGTTTGTTCCCTTACAAATTTACTAAAGCAGCTGGTGTGCAGAGATGGACACACAATGTAAATTGATTAGTCGATTGATTTATCTAGTGTTGATGCTGCTCGTTTCAACAGCTACTACGAAGAGAACCTTTTTAACAATGAAACATGTGAGAACTGATTTGCTCAACAAAATGAGCAATGAATTTCTCGCCGATTGTTCAAGTATTTTATTTGAAACAGTGTATACTATTGGTATGGATGTAGACTTCATTATTGATGCATTCCCTAAATTAAAATACAGTTGTGTACAATTTACATTGCAAAAAACTATAATCATTATATTTTTTACGGTTCTAATTTTCTAATGAAATGCGGCCCAGTACTCTTCTGTGTTCTGGATCCGCCCCTGGTTATGATTATAGTTATTGATATACTTGGCCAGGTAGAGGCGCAGAATATAAAGTGAGAAATGCTCCAAAGTCTCAAATATCTTCACTTTCTCTCTAATATTGAGACAGATGTCTCTAATATAAAATATGAAAGAATCCTTTTAGCATATTCATAATGATAATTGAATAAACGAATGAAATATTCACGTGATCAACTAACCAAGAATCGGATCGTGATATCACCCTTATTATTATTATAATTAAACAAATTACACATTTTCACGTGGTTAACAAACATAATAATTTATATTCGAAAAGGTAATAATAATAGTAATAATAACAACGATAAAGGAAAATGACAACTGGCGCGGGTGTGATTTTGGGTGGAGTGTTTCTTTCTAGTTCTACTATAAATAGGACTCGCAGTCGGGCCTTCAAAACCAGACGCACAAGCAAAGCAAAAACAAAAAAAACAATGACGTCGTCTGAGGCTGGCTTCGTGTTGGACTCCAACAACTTGTGGGTGGTCGGCAGCTACGACGGCACGATTGCCGTGCTCGGCGGGCCGGACGTGGCGTACCCGAACACCCGCGACGTCACCGGCGACGTGAGGAAGTGGGCGGAGACGGCCCGGATCGGGACCATCCCGCCGTCCACCCACCGTTCACTGGAACTCTTCGGCGTCGTGTTCAGCGGCCAGAAGCTGGAGGAGCTGCGGAAGAATTTGTACGACCACCAAGTGGCGGTCAACAGGGAAGGATTCACGGTCCAGTGGCTCAACCTCGGCGGCGATAGTAAGGAGCCCAACGAGGGCAGCCTCTACCGCCGCCTCAACGACCTCTTCGACTGGTCCAGCCACGGCGTGAAGGTGCCCGCTCCGGTCCAGACGGAGTGGGACCGGTACCAGCTCGGCAGCGGGGAGCTGATGGCGGAGCTGTCGGGGCTGGCCCAGCTGCCGGTTGTCGTGGCGGAGCTGGAGGAAGAGAACCAGACGCTTCGGGACGAGAAGGACGTGGAGATCCGAGAGCTGAAGAAAGGCGGCGGCGGCGGCCAGGAGCAGTCCGCCGCCAAAGATAAGATGATCGCTGCACTCAGGGATGCTCTCAAGCTCTTCCTCTAAATCGATGGAACTGCATGCTGTGTTGGGATGAATAGCTTTGAAAAGCTATAATAAAATTCCTAATTAATTATCCATCTTAATTTCGTATTAAGATGCTATCAATAATAGAACACATAAGATGCTGTCGTTCCGGTTTCATCCCTATCCCATGCTTGCTGAATCTATCTATCTGTGTGTGTAATGTGTTGTGTATTTAATTGGTAGCATGCATTGCTGAGTTGCCAATTGATTAATAAAAAGTTACAAGTGTCGTTTTGTTAGTCTCTGGGACCGTTATAAGCAATCGGATCGGATTACCGACAAAAGAGTATGGTTTTCCAGGATAATAGAAGGTACTTTTTCGGCTAAATCCTAAAATACCCAAGTTACAAAAATCAATTCTCACAATACATCATTTCAAAAAATAATTCTCAAAATACCTAAGTTTCCCAGAAGCAAAGCCTAGAGACGACCTAAAATGACCCTGGACGAGATGCAACATGATGGTGATGAGCTGGATCTTGCATACAGTGGATGAGTTGATTTGCAAAAGTGTAAGAAGCCTCAAAACTAAAGCAGAGGTATGGAAAACTCTCAAATTAAGATATGGTCACGGGGATTTGATTAGGATAGTTGAACTCGAAGAACAACTATGCAATTTGAATCAAGTTTCTAGTTGTGATGTAGGCCACTTTGCTAGGCAAAAAAGATTGACACTTCCTTCCAGCAATTCAATCACAACAAACCATTTGAACTCAAACACATGAATATTTGGGGTCCCAATTCCAGCAATTCTCATGATGGTTTTCGGAATTTTCTGACAAAAAAAAATGAAAATGAAAATTGTTTCTACTTCTAGAGCTGTGCACAAGACACCAGCTCTATTTAAGTTTGAGCCTCTTGATAAGGGTCATTGTTACTGACGATGGATGTCTAGTTAAACTCCTAAAACATTAATCTTTCCTACATAAATTGCCTACAATGTTACTGATCTTTTCTTTTATATATGGAAATGTATGCGGAATTTATAACAGAAACACACAACCACAGTTTTATTTCTTATTGGTTGATTGGCAACTGATCATCGGTAGCCACCAATCAAAATACACAACAACGACATAACACAGACACCTTCAGGTGTGTACGTACATGCATGCATGAGATACGTGCATGAAAACAAGTACGTAGAGGAAAACAGAATACATAACAATAAGAACAGGAAATAGAAATCTCAAAGGAACGGTGTGCATGAACGGAATGATAACTACGTAGTTAGAAGCATTATGAATTTAGGTGAAGGCAGCGAGAGCTGCCCTGAGGTTTGCGATCTGTTTGTCCTTGGCGGCCAGCTGATCGTCTTTCTCCTTGGCCTGCTTCTTCAGCTCGTCGCTCTCCTTCTTGGCCGCATCCTCCCTCGCTTGGGCCTGCTCTTTCAGCTCCTGGATCTCCTTCTGGGCCGCTTCTTCCCTCTCCTTGGCCCGCTTCTCCCGCTCCGCAGCCTCTTCCTGCAGCCTCTTGTTCTCCTTCTCCTTCTCCTCCAACTCCTTCTTCACCTGGGCCGAACCACCACCACCGGCCCCCTCCATCAGCTTCCCCGTGGTCCGCTCGAACCGGTCCCACGATGTCCCGACCGGGAGCGGGACGGTGACCCCGTGGTTGGACCACTCGTAGAGATCGTTGAGGCGGTACAGGAGTGCACCCGGCTTGAACCGGCCGTTGTCGGTGCCGCGGTTGTGCCACGTGAACATGAATCCTTCTCGGTTGATGTTGAGCTGGCGGCCGTAGAGGTTCTGCCAGAGCTGCTCCACCTTCTGCGGGTTCAGCGCCGCCCCGAAGACTTCCAGCTCGCGGTGGCTGCAGTACTTGTTGTTCCCGATCCGGGCCACCATTGTCCATTTGGTCTCGTTGTCGTTCAGATCCTGGGTGTTGATGTCCGGGGAAAACGGCCCCGTATTCACCCTGATCGTGTGGTCGACCAGACCCAGCAGCCACAGATTGTTGGAGTCCATCACGAACCGAGACATCTTTTTCTTTTCTCTCTTTCTTTCTCGACGAAACTACTAAGTAATTGATGCTAGTGAATTGTTAGCTTGTGAGAACGATGATCTGTGAGAATTTGAAGAATCATTAGTGCCTCCTATTTATAGCGATCCAAAACATTACCCTCCCCCTTCTTTGTAGTTAATTTGCGTAATTTCATTAGCGAACACATTGCTTGACTTTTTTATGAACCCGGCCATGATAATCGAGTCCATAACGTACGTACTCTTCTTCACGGTGCCCACCGTTTGCTTATTAATTTATATGGTTCAATATATTCACGTGGTTATAACTAATAACTAGTGTCTAGTGTGCATGTGCATAAAAGTTTGCAATTCTGATTGGGTGCTGACTATTACTCATACGCAGTGACCCCAAAAAAACGCAGAATATGAAATGAAAAATGCTTCAAAGTACTTCTAGAGCTGCACAATAACTAAGGTTTCATCTCAGACGTAGCAAAGAATTCATCTTAGGTTTCACTAATAACTAAGGTTTCATCTTAGACGTAGGAGATTCGCTATTTCTCTCCACCATTGAAATTTATATCTACATCATGAACAATCTCTTCCTTTTACCCAAATCACAATTATCTCCATCATCAAATCCACCCAAGCCTAAGGAAAAATTCAATGACAATAAATTTCCAATTGTGAAGCACCATTTTTAAGAAGTTAAATTTACCTCGTCCGTGTCGTCAACATCTTTTGAGGTTACTCTTCTTCATCGTTCCATACCTTGAAAACCATTCACTTATGGGGTTCGACAAATTATAATCTGTGAGTTTGATGTTAAACTTCAAATTTCTCTCAAGTCGCAGAAGATAAAGTGGTGGAGATCCTCCTATTCCATCACTATCTTGGAATAGCTTCTCAATAGGCATCCCAAAAATCTAGCTCCTTCGATAAAGTCAATTCATCAGTTTTGTCGACATAATTAGGAGCTAGTAAGTTTCTAGACTATTAGGGAAAACTTAATTCTAAGGCTGTCAGACTATATTTGGATATATCAAGAAATTCATTTTTCAGAGGAATTTGTAGTTCATATTCACGTCTGCATAGCACAAATACGAACCGCGACAAATTGTCGGATGAAAGTTTGGAAAAATTCATTTATTGAGAATGCTTGAAAAATATATTACCCAAATTAAAATAAATGAGATATGATGTGTTGAACGCTAATAATTTACACATTAGAATTATATATTTAATATGATTATAAACGAACATGGCTTACTATAATAATATATAGTCTGCGCAGAAGCCACGAAAAATTGAATGAGGTGGGTTGTGAAATGGAATCTCCATATATTGTTTGGAGGAAGGAGGAGGATAGCGATCGAAAACACTACCCTTCCCCTACCTTAGTAGTTTGCGTAATTTCATTAGCGAACACATTGCTTGACTTTTTTTTATGATAATCGAGTCCCTAGCGAACACATTGCTTGACTTTTTTTTATGATAATCGAGTCCCTAAAGGTAAAGTACGTACTCTCCACGGTGCCCACCGTTTGCTTATTATATAGTATAGCTAGTTACCTACATATATTCACGTGGTTATAACTAATAACTAATAAGTAGTGTGAATGTGCATCAAAGTGTGCAATTCTGACTGGATGCTGACTATTACTCATACGCAGCTTCTTAGAAAGATACAAGGATTGCTGCGTCTGCTTAGGAGTGGATTTCCTCCAGTAGAGCTTGCTATTTCAGAGGATTATGTAAATAGTATAGTGTAGTTTGGTAGCCTGGTTTTTACTCTCTTTTTGGTTTGTTCTGTTGATCTTTTGTCTCTTCCTTTGCAATCGGGTTACTTGGGTTCCAGTTAGGGGGATTTGTCATAAAATTCCTCTTCCTTGATGAATAAAGCTGCTTATTCATAAAAAAAACGCAGAATATGAAATGAAAAATGCTTCATCGTACTTCTAGAGCTTCACAATAACTAAGGTTTCATCTCAGACGTAGCAAAGAATTCATCTAAGGTTTCACTAATCACTACAAGAAACTGCTGGTTTAGCGACGGTTATTTTGGCCTTTAGTGACGGTCACAAACGTCGCTAAAAACTTTAGTGACGGCCAGCTAACCGTCACTGACCCAGCAGTCCTTAAATTATTTAGCGACACTTTTGGTCGACCGTCGAAAGGAACGTCGGCATATGTTAGTGACGGTTCCAACCGTTGCTATTTCAATTAAACCCGTCACTATATTAGCAGTTGTAAGATACGTCAGATCATTTTGCAACGGTCAACAACCGTCGCAAAGTGTGAGTACCGTCACTAAATACATCTCTTTTCAGATACCTGCTGTGATAGGCCACGAAACCAACCCTGAAGTAATTTTTCCAAAAACCAACCCAGCATGATTAACTAAGAAGCAGAATCACAACAATCTTATTTAGAAAAAGCATCGATAGCAACAAAGTTATCAATCTTCAACACTAAAAATCCCAGTAACATAAATCCTTAACACCAAAAGTTAATGTCATGTATGGAAGGGTGCATTTCACCAAATCTCCAACCTTAAAGATACATGTAGGGTGCTTGACGGCATGAGATAAAAATAAACAACAGCATCCATGAGTAGCTCCTTGCTAGACTCCAGTCCACTGGGGAAATCTGAAAAAACCATAGCAAGATAGTGAAAATTAATTAACAACCTTGGATTATCTAATGGAATATGCTTCCTGACTACAAGTGATACGAAGACTTAACTGAAATTCACAACCACTAGACCCAGAGCACTCACAAGGCTATAGGGGTAGTAAAATTTCAATAGTTGACTGGAATTCCTTGTAAAGAAGCGGGAGTCCTTCAATCTGGAATATTCATCGTGATATTCATCTAGTACACTTAGAATTTGGGCATTGCAGTACAAAGGAGAACCATAAAATAAGAAATACCTGCTCGTGACGATCATGTATCCCTCTATATCTTACAGGAGTTATTTTGGAGCTGCGATTCCTTGTACTGATATCTGAACTTGGACTTGCTATTGATTCATGTTCCATCTGAACTTCGACTTCCCTCTTTGATGAGCTCTACAGAAGCCATATGAACAAAAGGGTGACCAAACAGCTAATTGTAACTCTAGAACATTCAAGAGTTGATAAACAAGATGGTTTCATTGCTTCCTATATAAGAATAAACAAACATATAATTGCAAGACATCATGCCACTCTATGGAACAATGTTCACATAGCAGAAAGACAGAAACCATAAACTTAATGAGACCCCATTCTAATGTTATGTAGTAAAAATCAGGCTGGTAGGTTCCTGGATCATGATACAACTAGGTCAACCATCCAACTCGATCCTGGTCCAGGATAGTTTTCATAAAATGCACCAAGAAAAGAGAGGGATATATAAATCTAACCAACCTTGTTTAATGCAACGAGACTCAGAACCTTGACTCCTCCAAGTATACGCGCTTTGAAAACCTAGTTGGCGGAGGTGGGTTAGCAGGAGTTGCTCCCCCAGCATTCCTAGTACTCCTCTATTTCCTCTGCATGCATAGAACACGTTAGACTAGATGAGTTTTCTTTTCAAGAACAAAAAAGGAACACATTGGATAGCGAAAAGCTTTAAGATCATTCTACGGGATAATAGAGCCTACGGGTTTAGCCTAGTAACTCAAACTGTCATTCTACCAAGAGGCAGTGAGATATTTCAACCAGCTGATTCTCGCTCAAATCCCTACAAACAAAGGACAACAATCAGAAGACAGCGTTTAATATATACAGTAGTTTCAAAATCATAGAGCATTAAGAGCTTGATGAGAATGAACTAGCACCCACCCCATCCAAGCATCTCAGTAGTCTACCTTATTCATATTCTTCTTCTTGTCTTTGTCCGTTCTTTTGGATATTCCTAAAAAGCAACAAGTTGGAAAACCTTTTAATGAGTTCCAAGAAACTTTCCAAACCACGAAAAGTGGTTCAACTTTATTTTAGTTCACAATTTGAAAACTGGAACAGCAGAGACAATCAATGATCAATTATGTGCTCATAATTTGTTCTTTCAAGTCAGCAATTTATAGCAGAGTATGAGGTAAGAGATTAAGCTTACCTTAGTAACAGCAAAAGGAGAGGAATTTATAGCAGAGTATGAGGTAAGAGATTAAGCTTACCTTAGTAACAGCAAAAGGAGAGGAAGGAGCAGCAACAAAAGGAGAGGAAGGAGCAGCAACGGAAGAAAAGCTTATTACTATGCTGCTCATTTCCATCCAGTCAAAGTGTGGAAGTAGCTTCCAAAACCATACCATCCAGTCAAGATGACCCTGCAACACATGCACAAAGGAAATTAGTTAGCAGTCGAATCAACTTATCAATAACAGAGGGATTGCCTCATTGACATTCCAATCCAAAGATGAATACGTGACTCTATTACAGATAATGGAGAGAAAATAGATGCTCTCCAATACTAAGCACCAGGACATCCACCCCAATGATGGTTGCTTTGGATAACAGTGGCAGCCAGGAAGTCAGCATCTCCAATTTCGTACAACACCACTGCACCTTCTTGCTACCCATAATCTTGTATACCCCTAAGGCTTTCGCATGCTTGAACAAGAATGCTGCTAGTCAAGCAAAAACAACAAGAACTAGCATCAGGGGCAGCGCTCATCCATACTCAAGTATTTTTGAACAACCTCTAGCTAGCACTACCAAAGCTTCTTCTTCTAAGTCACATATTCTTTCTATAACGTAAAGTTACAATGATACGCACAAAATTGGACTTATGAATGGTCGAGTTTGAGAAATTGGGGTTACCTCAGACTTTAACCAACGACCCTATAGTCAAGGTTCAGCCGATAAGGCCAGACAAGAGACCTTGAAAGCTATTGCCCAGCTCCAAACGGCCTCCTTCACGCACCCACAAGCCGCTACCTGCTGAACTAGCCAGAGGAGCTCACCAGCTAGTTCTCGATAGAACAAGCTCCCATCCCCAACCGAACAAACCACTTTCACCGCTCGTTTCAATTTTTACAGGACAGCCTGGCCAGCTCTGCCGTTTCTGCTCCTATCCAGCCCTTATTGACTAATGGCAGCTCCAAACTGGGTGAGGAACCTCAAAACGCC